TGCCTCGAGAAGAGGTTGCGTTGCCAGCTAGGAAGTGCGGGTTGGGGTGGAATGGGTTCCATCTTCGGTGAGTGCCAGAGCTTGGCCATGGGTGCGCTGCACGTTTGATTGACAGTCTGCGCAGGTTTGAAGAGTCTCCGCAGGAATTGTTTCTCTGTGTGACGAATGTCGTCTTTTATCGTCAATGCCGACGGAGGCGCGCGCTACATCGGCTTGCTGTTTTTAATAAGTATTTGGTCCATGGCGAGGCACTCCATGCTCGAGCGTCGGGAGCGTGACCACGTGGAGGATGTCTTCTGGGTGGTCAGCAAAACCACCACGTCTGAGCGAGTTGGGTAGGTCCATGACCTCCTTGGGGGTGCCTCGAAGGGGTCGGGTTCGAGTCGGCCTCCGCACTGTTTGAACTTTCCAAGTTCTGCGAGCGCATATGTCTGAAGCACCTGCATGAGGCGGCGCTGCGGTTCAATTTCCCGATTCGGTTGTTGCGTTGCCTGTGCGCGATCTATGCATGTCCCTGCACGCTTCTGTACGGGGGAGCGGCATCACGAGTGGTGCACGCTAGCGGGTCTGCGGCTGCAGGCTGCAGTGGAGCAGCGCGTCTTGCGAAGTTGCTTCTCTTGGGCCCGATGTTGCGAGCAAAGCATGGGAGACCGCAGTTGATGGTTAGGAACGTCGTGGATGGCATTGCGCTGCAAGTATGTGGTAGGAAGGAGCAGGTGGCCCAGGTTTTCGGTGAGGGGATTGAGTCGCAGCTGACGGATTTCGTTCGGCTAAGCCTTCCTGTTGCGGTGAGCAAGGCCAAGTATATTTGCAGCACTCGGCTCGGAATCTTGGCACGGGCGCGCCCTCGGGATCCTGTCGCAGAGTTTGCATCGCCAGGAGTAGGTTCGTGGCTGTTAGATCAAGGGGCCAGCGTTTGCAGATTTTGCAGTGCGCAGGTGCGGGCGTCGGCCTTATCCACAGGGTTGGGGCTACTGCTGCAGCGCTCTGGGGAAGCAGTGTCACTAGGATCCCCCCCATCGGCCATGCACGGCCTGCGTATCTCTGCTGCCCGTAGCATAGGGAGGCCCCCTCAAGGATCCAGTCTTGGGCTCAGGCTCCACTCGAATTGGCTTGGGGCTTTGGCAGAACCGCTGGTTGCCTATACGGGGCACGCAGTGTATCCGTGGACCTCGGCCGTGTGGGAGAGCTTCCCCTCGCCGACGGCGTTTGATGTTGCCGTGGGAACGGCCCCTGACAAACTGGAGCGTTTCCGTCACCCGGAAGAAGTCTGCCTCACGGTGTCCAGGATGGGCTGGGGATTTATGTCTAGCACGCGCTTGATAGACGATTTTGGGCGCGTGTGGAACCTGCGCCAGCTCTTGCCGTCGGAAACTCGAGGGCGGTTGCAGAACGGGGCCACGCGGGCGTCGGACCGTTTTGCTCTGGCGAGTTCGGGCCGGCTTGGGGGCGAGGACCCCCGAGGCCATTCTGATTTTTAATTCTAACCAGGAAGTGTGTTTTTTCTCTTCTGGGGGGGGCTGCGCTATCTCCTCCGCAGCAAGAAAATGGATTGGTCCAGCCACCGCCAGCGCACCCTCAGAGCCCTCATTCGCAACGCGCATGGGCCGCAAGCTAGGGTGCTTGCACGCGTCGCCTGCGCACTGGTTGTGTCGGGCTTGTAGTGGCACGCTCTGGCATAGGCAGTATGAGTGCGTGGCGCATGAAGGTCTCAGGAGGGATGGGGCCTCGCCGCGGCCGAGGGAGCGCGCAGCCAGAGCCCTTGAGCAGGGGTTTGAGGCGGGAGAGCGTTTCGCTAGATGCGCGCCCCCAAGTCCCCTGGCATTTGCGCCCCGCGCAGGCCCCGATGAGGCTGTCAAATGGGCGAACAAGCCCACGCGTGTATTTTTCGCGGGATGCATTTTCAGAGACGGCTTGGCCATGTGGCCGTCGATTTAAGGAGTCAGCCAGGCGGGCTGGGCGCTTGTGCAAGTGGAGGGGCTCGGCAATGTGTCGCACGCAGCGCGTGGCCTGTGCCCGTGTCCTTCGGCCCCCGCCAGACAGCCAAGGATGGCGAATGTTTCGCGATCCACATGTTGGCGCGCGTGGGGAGGGGGCCGTTCCAATTGTATCTGGACTGCTAGTCGACGCTCGATGTTCTCTGCGGGGGCCCAGTCACGGGGGCCGAGGCTTGGGCCCCAAGAAGGCACACGTGGGCGCCTTTTTGGGCTGCGTTCTCCAGTGCAGATTTTGAGGATTTCAAAACGCTTGCCCACGCGGGCTGTGCTGACGTGGAGTCTGGTAAGACGACCTGGCGGGGGCGTCGAGCTAACCGGGCCGCGGACCACCATGCCAAGGCAGGAGCTTTTGCGAATGGAGCCATTGCGGAGCACGCAAGCTTGATCAGAGGGTTCGAGGCCCATTGTCAAGAGCAGGGGAGGCGGGCGGGCAGGCTCGAAGTCTGGCTCGCCCAGCAGGGCGGCAGGGGCGACGCGGTAGGCGCTGCCGCCGAGGAGCACGGCCCCTCGGAGCTGCCGCCCCCCCCCCCCCTGAGAGCGACGGAGAGGATGGGCCGTCGTCTGATGTCGTCGTGGAGGTGGGCGGTTTGGACGGCGACTTGTGGCCGTACGAGGCCCTGAATGTCTTTTATTCCAGCGGGCATGGCTTGCTCGGGTGCGACGTCGAGAAGCCGTCCGCGGAGTCGGGCAAGATTTTGTTTTGTTGTGGGTGTGGGGGCTACACCTCGGGGAAGCCTGGCGGTCTGTTGCTGTCGCGGTGTGAGCAGAAGCCAGCGGGCCCGAACAGCGGTGTGAGCAGAAGCCATCAGACCCCTTTTTGAGGCGCATCGGGCGGGGGAAGCACCCCCACTATCGGCGTTTTTTTTCGCAGGCCCTCGTGCACGGCCAGCCAGTGTCTCTGTGTGCTGAGGAGAAGGCGGAGCTCGAGAGCTCGCTGCAGCTGCCCTCCACAGGCTCGGGCTCCGCCACGAGCGGGGCTGCCGCGGGAGGGCCATTCCTTTTGCCCCCGCAGGGATCAGCACTGTCGGACGAGGGCGAGGGGGAGGGAAGGAGGGAGGGAGAGGGTCGCCCGGGGGGATGCGTATCTGGCCCCCCCTCTTCCACCCCCCCCCCTCCCGGTGGGGAGGGTAGTGGAGGAGCTTCGCCACGACTACGATTTCTTTATGTTTCGTGTTCGATTTCCTTTTATTTCGGGCGACGACGATGACGACGACGACGACGACGACGACGACGACGGTGATCCACGCAAGACGACGACACGGGGATGCGTTTTCCACACGCCGACAGGGTCGGCGGATTTCCCAGACATCCGCCGGATGTTTGTCAGTGCCTATTCCGCGGACCACAGAGGTTTTGGCCCTTTCTGCTGGGGCAGGCTCTTTGCCCCAGTCCCCGAAAAGGAGCCCGAGAAGTCAAAAGTAAGGACAAGATGCTGCGATGTCACAATAAGTCGCGGGAAGTCCGCATTTAGTCGAGGTATACGATCGAGGTCGGCTCGGGGAGTGTACCCTAATGTTCTTCGTGTTTGTTGGATGTTCTTGTGTATCCTGCGGGGGACACCCTCGATTTTTTTTTTTTTTTTTTCAGTTTGGCCAGCGGAGGGCCCCATGTTCTTGAAGGATGTTTTTGTTCTGTCCTACGTCCGACTGTGTGTCTGGATTTGCAGCCCTCCACCCTGACCGCCCCTGTGCGCCCAGGATGGTCGAGGAGGAAAACGGCAGGCGGCGCGGCTTCATCAGCCGCTACGGCTGCCACCTCCCGGCGGACCTCATCCAGGGTCTCGGCGCGCACTGCACCCCCCCCCCTCGGCGGAAGTGGAGGCGAGGAGACGTCACGAGCCGCGAACATGCCCCCCCATCGCGGTTTAGATCCTGGGGCGCGATCCCGCGGATGCGCGGTCGCAATTGCGGATGCGCGTCGGTTGTTGGAAGTACGTGGTCTTGGTTTCCCAGGTCCTAGTCTACTTTAGGCGCCTTCCAGACGCAGGCATATATCTGTTCGCTTCGACAGAGGAACATATGTGTTCGTTTGGGCAGGGATATCGGCGCCCGCGCCGCGCGCGGGGAGGGCACGACGCCAGAGGGCGGGGCGTTCCTCCTCTTCTGGCGCCGTGACGCCCAAACTTGCTTCACGACTGCCGAAGAGGCCCCCAAAGTCGCCCCAAGAGGGCTCCAAGATGCTCCCCGAGGAGGGCCCAAATAGGCCAACTTGGCTGTTCGTGCCCTCGGCCTGCCACCGCCCCAAGACGGCCGAAGCGGCCACAAAGTTCGCCCCCAAGAAGGCCCAATCAGAGCCCCGATGCGGTCCACCAGGGCCCCGACACGGCTCCCCCTCGCACCCCTTCCGAGCTTGTTGCTCACTCTCCTTTTTCTGCGGCGAGCTTTCAGACGGGAACTCGCACGAGATTTTGCCGCGCCAAGCCCGGCGGGCTGACCCGATGGCTTCACCTGCCGTGGACCGCAGGTTTCTCTGGAACTGTCTGTCAGAGCGGCTTTCTACCGACAGTCGATGCTGCCGTCGAGACTGCTTCACGACGCCTGTCGTCGTCGTCGCCGCCCATCAGGCTCGACCGCGGGACCTCTCCTGGAGCGCGCGGCCTCTCCAGGCGGACCCAGCTGCTGCGGCGGCCCCCGATGGGGCCCAGAAAGGTCGCGAGACGACATCCCCTCGGAGGGCGGCGTCGTCGTCGCTCGTCGCTCGCCGTTGGCGTCGGCGTCGTTCCGCGCCGGCGCCGGGCGTCTTCGTCGCTGGGTGGCGCCATCAGGGGCAACGATAGGGGGGAAGGGGCACAGGGGGGGGGGGGATGCATCGCCCATGGATCGCCGATAGGGGCCCGATATCCGATAGCCCCAACCTGCCCAGGAGCGTGCGGATTCACGATTCGGGGCCTGGCGGCGATGTATCTCGCCGACTCCAGGTCGATGTGTGTGTTTCCGCCCGGTGCCCGGCCCCCCCGGATCGGTGCCCCGCACGCCCTGGCGGCGCCCCGCCCCCCGAGGCTCCATGGCCCCGGCGGCGACGGTCGAGGCTGGAGCCGGCGTGCGCCCGCTGCGCCTGCCCCTCGGGGGCAGTGTCACGTCGGGCCTGTCCCCCAGATAGCAGGGGGCCGATTGTTTGACTGTTTTTGACACTTGTGGAAGAGCATGTTTTGGCTACTTTTGAGTTTGGGCCTATCCCTCTACAGGAGGACAGTTCAACCGAAAAATAGTACGGGGACGAGTGCTTGATTCTTTCTGTTGGTGGCAATGTTTGAAGACTGTCTGGCTACTTTTGATTTTTCGTCCGAACTCCGTCTGCAGAAGGGCATGTCCGACCTAAGGCGGCGGGGGGGCATCGGCTCAGGGGGGGGAGCCATGCGGACTTGGCATCGCTTGACCGATCTTCCTCCCCATCTCCATCCCCATCCCGATCCCCCATCTCCATCCCCATCCCCATCCCCATCTCCCATCTCCATCTCCATCCCCATCGTGGCATCGGTTGACTAATCCTTATCCCCATCTCCGTCCCCATCCCGATCCCCACCCTCCCACCATCTCAGCTGGGGGTATGCATTTCTCGAAGCTCGAAGGGAGCAGCCTCATCTAGGGGGGGGGAGGACATCGGCCAGCGGGGCGCCCAGGCCACGCTCGTGGGGGTAGGGATCGGTCAAAGGATGCTCCTGGGCCTGGAGTCTGCGATGCGGTCGGGTCAATCTGGAGTCGGCTATACGTTCGGGTCGGACGAGAGGATGGGGGAGGAGGAGGAGGAGGAGGAGGAGGAGGAGGAGGAGGAGGAGGAGGAGGAGGAGGAGGAGATTGGGAAAGGGAAAGTTGCGAAGTCTCCTGCATGCAACTGGGCTCGGCCCCGCCGCCTGGGCGCCTTCCCTGGTAACATCGGCGCCAGTGGCGCCCAGAAGCGCCAGAGAAATCAGCTGCGCGAGCTCATTCGCTAACGTGCTCTTGACTAGTTCCCCCCATTGCGTCTGTCCCGATACGTCGCCGACAGGTCGGCAATAGGGCCTCCGATGGCGAGTCCGCACGCTCTTCTGTAGGGTAGGCTATCAGGCCCCTGTCGGCGATGAGTGGGTGATTGGGGGTCGATGCATCCCCCCGCCCATACCCCCCCCCGTCTAAGGTAGCCATTGAGCAGAGGGGGGGAAGTCGAGGATCGAGGCTTCGGGGCTTCGGGAGGTTTGGGGCGTTGTGTTATTCTGTCTGGCCCCCAGGAAGACGTATCGTCCCCGCGGCCAGACGGAGGCGTGGGGGCAGATGCCTCAGGGTCGCCGTGGGGAAGAGGGGTCCTGAAGCCGTCCCTTCCCAGTCCACAGGGGCGTCAAAAGGCGATTCAGGATGAAACATGCAGGACCTCTTTCCACCAGGTTCATGCCGCTGTTTTTTCCTGGAACTCCCAGAATGTTGACGCCCTACGGCGGACAACATCCCCAGACACGTGTGCGGGGCCAGGTTCTTGGTCTCAGCAGTTTGGCACAATCAGCTAACAGTCATGAAACCAGCGATCAGCTCCGTATGTCAGGTGGACGCCCTTTTGGGGGGCATCGGGATGTGTCCCATAGCTACGGTGCATTCGTCTCCCATCGAATGTGCTGCTGTGGCCTCGGTGTTGAAGTTGAGGTGAAAGGTATTGACCAGTAAGGGACATTGTCTAGGGACGTACCCAACCCATCTGCAACGCATCAACGCGCTCATCCAATACGAATAAACACATGAAAGCGCGCGTTGTCTAGCCGCGAGCTTTATGGGGAAACTCTGCGTTGCGTGCCCAAGGAAGGCTGCATGAGGCGATACCGAGGGAGCATCAGTTGCAGGCGCACGACGACGCTCCGCTCGACCTCCCAGGGCCTCACGAACTCGGCGACAGTTACGCAGCCGGCAGCGCTCAGGGAGGGATGCCACCCAATGCATTGCCGTGCTTCCACAGGGAAACGAACAACGACAGAAGCATCACAACTCATAGGTCCGCGCGACGCGCTCCGCGCGCCAGCCAGGGGGCCTCCAGCGCGGATCCGAGAAATCCGCGCGGACCTCTGAGTTTTTAGTTTAGGTCATTGTTTGTTCTCCTGCTCCAGGGCAGTGGCGCCGACGACGACCGACGGCGGGCAGGTGGCCAGCTTCGACGGGCAGTTGCCAGACATCGACATGGCGTCCCTGTACGAGGCGCCGGTGGAGGAGGCGCCTCGACCTGGGCCCCTCCGGCCCCGGTGCTCCGTCCCCGGCGCGCGGCAGCGGACCAGGAGGGGGAGGAGGAGGGGGAGGAGGAGGAGGAGGAGGAGGAGGAGGAGGAGGAGGAGGGCAATAGTGGGCCATTGTTTGGCCGTCTTCGAGGCATGGCGGCGGTGGTGGCTGGCCTGAAAATCGGGCCAGAGGCGCTAGAACACCTCGTCGTTGGAGGGCTGCAGTGCGCTCCTTTAGGGCTGAAGGAAGAGGAAGAGGAGGAGGAGGAGAAGGAGGAGGAGGAGGAGGATCGAAGACGCCTATCACCGCCCGCGGCGGTGATTCGCCGGCAACACTGGCGCTTCCAAAAAGAAGGGGGCGGCCCGCCCCCTTCCTTCTGGAAGCGCCAATGTGGCCGAACGCTGTGGACAGAGATCGGCCACGCTATGGAACTGGGTCCCCAGCCGTTGTGGGAATCCTTGCGGGAACACTTTGGGTGAGAACGAAGGAGAGGAGGAAAGGGAGGAAAAAGGAGGAAGAGCAGGAGGAGGGGGCGTTCCTGGGCCGTGTGACGCGTTGGCAGCCGTCTTGCGGGCCTCTCTGGGCCGACCTGGGGTCCTCCTGGGCCGCTTCAAGGCCGTCTTGGAGACCAGCTTGGACGTCTTGGAGGCCTCCTAGGCCCTCTCGGGGCCGTCTTGGAGGCTATATCGGAGGCCTCTTGGGCGCTCTTGGGGCCATCTTGGTGGCCTCTGAGGCCGTCTTGGGCCGTCGGCAAGCCGAAAAGGACCAGTCAACGCGCAAATCCTTCAACAAGCTTGGGAAATTTGGGCCTCCTCGGGCCTTCCTGGAGATCCTCTTGGATGCCTCTTGGGCCGTTTTGGAGGCCTCTTGGGTCGTCTTGGGCGATCATCTTGAGGCCATGGCTGGTCATTTCGAGGGCACCTCGGCCCGTTGTGGAAACATCTTGGGACCGTCCTGAAAGGCAAGCTTGGGCCATCTCGGCCCTCTTGGAGGCATGTCGGCGGCCATCTTGGGCCGTGTTGGCCGTCTTGGGACGATATGTCTTTGCGCGGCTTCCCCGGTGGCCGGCGGGTTGGGCCTAAGGCTCTTGGGAATCTTTTCGAAGAGCCAGGAGATACTTACAATTCGGCACGCCTTGCGCCCCTGCGGCAGGCCGCAAGGGGTGACGGATCAAAGACGCCTGCGGCGAATCATTGCTACCCCCCGCCTTTCAGAATAGCCTATGTGGCCGAACGTTGCGGCCAGAGTTCGGCCAAGGTATCGGACTGCGTGCTCCCCCAGCCTTTGTCGAAACCCTTCGGAGAACACTCTGGGGAGACAATTGAAAAGGAGGAGCGGGAATGACACATGGGAGAGGAGGAGGAGGCCTCTTGGGGCACTCGTGGAAGGCTCCTGCTAGCTTCCTGGCCTCCTGCCAGCCTCAGCCCCACCCCTCCCCTCTCCCCTCAGTCCCCCCTCAATCACTAAAGGTCTTTAGTTTTGGCATCCCCTCCTTCTCTTTCGGCGGTGAGTAGGAGTGGTCCAAAACCTCCTCTTCCTCCTCCTCCTCCCCCCCCTCTTTCTCCTCCTCCTCCTCTTTCGTAGTCGTAGTCGCAACCGTAATCGTGCCTGTCGTCGTCGTCGTTGTTGCGCGGCGGGTGCTGCGGAACAAACATGATCAGTTGCCCCCTGTTGGTGGGACCCTAGTCCTCCGATGAGGCCTCCAAACACACAGTGAGCCTTCCCCCTGTTCCGGGGGGGGGGGGGGAGGTCGCCAGGCCTTGCAAGGTTCAGCCCCCACCCCCCCCCCCTCGGTCCCGCGCCCCTCCCGCGCCTCCGCCCCAGCAGCCGGGCGCCCCCCCCGCTTCCGCCCGCCCAGGCCGAGGAGGCCGAGGAGGAGGGGCGGGCCGCCGACGGCCTGCCTCGGGCCGCCGCGCCCGCGGCCAGGCGCGGCCCCCTCGCGGGGTCGGTCGTGGGCCGCCGCCGCCGGCCGCCGCAGGGGGGCGTCTGTGAGGCCACTGGACTCTCTGGAGGCAAGGGGGGGGTTGATGGGCGTGCTTTCCACCACCACCGCCACCACCATAAGTTGGATGGGGGGGTTCTCCTCCGCCGCCTCCTCTTCCTCCTCCTCCTCCTCCTCCTCCTCCTCCTCCTCCTCCTTCTCCTCCTCCTCCTCCCCCCCCCCTCCAACTTATGGTGGTGGTGGTGGAAAGCACGCTCATCAGAAGGGGTATGGCATAAAGGGGTGGCCGGCGGTGCTCATTTCATGTAAAGGGGTCCAGCGATGTGATTAATCGCAGACCCTGCGGCTGATCTTCCGCACCTTCCGTAAGGTGCGGAAGGTGCGGAAGGTGCGGGTCGGTCGGTCACGTCTTCGGATGTCTTCGGATGTCTTTGAATGTCTTTGGTGTCTGCGTTTGTCTTTGCACGTGTTGTTAATTCTTGCTAACTAACTAGCTGCAGTGCAAGAACAAGTCTGCGGTGTTTTATGTTGGTGATGACGAGGTTGTTTTAATACGTGGGTTGTTGCACATGTTGATTGTGCTACTGCCATCGTTACCACGCAATGTTGGTGTTGCTGCTGTTGTGGTTGTCTTTGTTGCCTCTTGTCCCGCTGTTGCGATGCATCATTGTCGTTGCAATGTGTTGCTTCGACGTTGTTGTTGTTGTTGCTGCTGTTGTTTGCTGTTGCTGTTGCTACGCGGTGGTGTTGCTGCTGTTGCTATTGGTGGCGTCGTCGTTGTCCTTCTCCTCCTCCTACTCCTCCTACTCCCCCGCCTGCGGAAACGAGGATTAGCGAGGGTAGAAGAATAAGGAGCAGCAGTCGTCGGAGTCGGAGTGGGGCTCGTCGCCATCGTCGTCGTCATCGTCGTCCTCATCGTCGTGGTCGTTGTCGGAGTCGTCGTCATCGGCAGCATCGTCCGAGTCGGAGTCGTCGTCGGAGTCATCGTCGTCGTCCTCGTCGAGGTCGTCGTTGTTGGAGTCGGAGTCGTCATCGTCGTCGTCAGAACCGTCGTCATCGTCGTCGTGGTCGTCGTCGTCGGAATCGTCGTCATAGGAACCATCGTCCGAGTCGGAGTCGTCGTCGGAGTTGTCGTCGTCGTCGTCGTCGTCGTGGTCGTCGTCGTCGTCGTCGTCGGAGTCGGAGTCGTCTTCGTCCTTGTCGCGGTCGTCGGAGTCGAGGCCAGAGTCTCGACCCAAGGGGGGGGCAGGCCTGAAGGGAGGAACAAACACCCCAATGGGGCGAAAGGCTAGACTTTCGGGTTCGTGGTCCCCCTCTTGGGGCCGTCTTGGGGCCCTCTTGGGCCGTCTTGGGCGCCTCTTGCCCCCATGCTCAGCCCTGCCCTCCAGAGTTCTCGGCTCCAAAGCCCAGCCGCTGCCCAGCCGCTGCCCAGCCCTGCCCAGCCCAGACGCCCAGCCCAGCCCAGCCCTGCCCAGCCCAGACGCCATGGACACGCAGATCGATCGAATGGCAGCGGCGCTGAGGAGCGTCCAGTCCGTCAGCGCTGTCGGGACTCCCACCTTATGTTCATGGAACACAGGTGGGAGGAAGAAGACAGGCGAGGGTGGACAAACTTCGCCCCAAGCCTGTCCTCCTCCTCCTCCTCCTCCTCCTCCTCTTCCTCCTCCTCCTCCTCTTATCCCTCCCTCCTCCTCCCCCTCCCTCTTCCCTCCTATTCCTTGTCCCGCCACCTCCCTCCACGCCCTTCTCTTCCGCCGCTCCATGCTCCCCCGCCTCATTCTTGTCCCCCCGAAAGGGGGGCTCTGCGACTATCTTTTGACGGCGAAGTGGTACAGGGCACTCCGGGGGTTGCAGGACATAGACGGGTCCCTCCGCTTCAGCCTCGACTTGTATGAACACGCAGTTCACAAGGTGATCGGGACGAGATGGAGGAGGAGGAGGAGGAGGAGGAGGAGGAGGAGGACGAGGAGGGGGAGGAGGAGGACGAGGGGGAGGCGGAGGGGGATGGGGAGGCGGAGGAGGAGAAGGAAGAGGATGGGCATGAGGAGGCGAAGAGGGAGAAGGCGGAGGAGGAGGAGGGGGAGGATGAAAATGAGGAGGAGGAGGAGGAGGAGGAGGAGGCGGAGAGGGAAGACAATGCGGATCAGGATATGGAAGGGTGAGGAGATACCGATGTCGAATGTACGGAGTGTGATGCTGCTGATGGCGATGAGAAGCGTGATGATGATGCGGATGAGGATGATGATGTCGACGCTGCTGCTGCTGATGATGCTGATGTTGTTGATGATGACCATGCTGATGACGGTACTGCTGATGATGGTGATGTTGCTAATGATGATGCTGTTTGTGATGATGATGCGGATGAGGACGGGGCTGATGAGGATGATGCTGATGTTGATGATGATGGTGTTGATGATGCGCACGCTGCTGCTGATGATGATGAAGATGATGATGATGCTGATGATGATGCAGGTGATGGTGATGATGATAATGTTGATGATGATGATGATGATGATGATGATGATGATGATGCTGATGACGAGTCTGGAGGTGGTGGTGATGCGGGGGAAGGTGATGAGGCGCAAAAGCGTGGAGCTAGCTCCACCCTTTTGCACATCATCATCGTCCCTGGTCGATTGCGGCGGTGGGGGTGAGGAGGAGGGGTGGGTGCGAGTCCCAAGGTCATTGGCCACATGGACGGCATCACGCCAACGCTGGTGTGCGCCGAGGCGAAGAAAATACAGAACCTGGTCGCGGCGTGGCGCCGCGTCGTGAGGCGATCGGGGCGAGGGAGGAATGACGGGGGGAGGAGGGGAAGAAGGAGGATCAGCACATGATGGACGAAGAAGGGACGATGGAGGACGAGAAGAACGAGGATGACCCGCTGCTGCTGTCGTCGTCGCCGTCGCCGTCGTCGTCGTCGTCGTCGTAGTCGTGGTCGTCGTCCTCGTCGTCGTTCGTTTTCGCCGCCTCCCTCCATCTGACCTCTTCCAGGTGGGTTGTTCGCTCGCCCCCCACCCTCCTCGCCCGCGCACGCCCTCCCACTCCCGAGGAGGGCGATGCTGGGAGTAAGGATGACGAGGAAGAAGATGAGGATGAGGAGAGCGCGGGGAGGATGCTGACATGGTAACAGGAGGATGCTGCAGATGAGTACGAAGATGAGGACGCGGAGCAAGGGGAGGAATCGGAGTAACATCTGGAGGGGGACACGCAGTGCCCGCCCGAGGCTGCAGTACCACATCCCCGCAGCGCTCAAGCGCGCGATGACGAAGCAGGCCTCTGACAGCGAGGAGCAGCACCGAGAGGAGGCCGACGATGAAGATGCGAACGAAAAGGAGATCACGCTGGGCGGCCTCAGCTCCGACGATGACGACAGCCTCGTGAGCGTGCACAGCGATGGCGCCGACCCCCCAGGCTCGGCGTGGAGGAGTTTGAGGAGGGGGAGGAGGAGGAGGAGGAGGAGGAGGAGAAGGAGGAGGAAAGGGATTGGACAGGAAGGAAAGGTAATGGGTGGGTGGGGGCAGGAGAGGGAGGAGGGCGATGCGGAACATGATGATGAGGCGGATGCGGCGGGGGAGAAGGATCGAAGAGGAAAGGCAACTTGCATGGCGTGATGGGCGCCTCGCTTGAGGCTGTAGGGGGGGGGGGGGGCTCCCTGGAGCCATCTTGGGCCGTCTCATGGGCATCGTCGGACGTCGTCGGCCATCCGCTACGCGGGGCCCGTCCCAATCATGTGCCCCATGACCCATATCAGTCCTATGAGCCGTATGAGCTCTACGAGCCCTACGAGTCCTATGAGACCTATGAGACCTATGAGCCCTATATGCCCTGTGAGCCATGTGAGCCCTGTCCGTATGAGCCATCTGAGTCCTACGAGCCCTATGGGCCATCAAAGCCCTGCGAGCCCTAAGAGCAGCTGGGCCCTATGAGCCCTCGAAGCCTGATCTCTCGGAGCCCTATGCCCGAAGGGCAGCGAGCTTCAAGCCTTGTAGTTGTGTAAACATACACACACTAACGATGATTACGTGTGTGCCCAGAGGGCTTATCGTGCTCATGGGGCTCATAGGGCCTAGAGGGTTCAGAGGGCGCTTGGGGCTCGTAGGGGCCATAGGGGTCATAGGGCTCATATGGCTTATAGGGCTTACATGGCTCGTGGGGCGCTACGCATAGGGCTCATAGGGCCCCTAGGGCCCATAAGGCCGAGAGGGCGCATGGGGCGTATAGGGCGCATAGGGCTCGAAGGCTCATAGGGTCCGTCGGGCTCACAGGGCTCGTAGGTGTCATGGGGTTCGTAGGGCTCATAGAACGCAAAGGACTCACATGGCTTATAAGGCCCACAGGGCCCGTAGGGCTCATAGGGCACATAGGACTCATAGGGCTCAGAGGGCTCATAAGCTCACAGGGCTCGTAGGGATCAGAAGCGTATGCAACAACACTCTAGGTTTTACCAAACAGCACGATGTTTGCTCCTTGGGGGCTCATTTGGGGGCCGCTCGAGGTGTCTGAGGGGCGTATTGGACGGGTTTGAACTCACTTTGGGCCCCTTGAGAGCGTTCGTGAGCCGTTCGCTGGCGGGTCTTGGGCTGTCTCGGAGCGTTTGGGGACCGTCCAAGAAGCGTTAGTGGGACTCGATCGGGCGGTGTCAGCAAGCGAGTTTGGGACCTATGTTTGTATATAAGCCGCAGGCGGTGTCGAGCCGCTGACGGACGCCCAGCAGCCGACCCACGCCCGCCGCTTGGCCGAGAAGTGCGACGAGGAGATGACAGAGGCGCGCCCCCCGCCCGCTCCGCACCACCCTCCGCCCCTCCCCCATTCCTGCCTCAAGAACTGGCAGATCTGCCCGCTCTTCAGGTCTTCTCCTCGGTCTAACCCCACTTGTCCTCAGCCCCTTTCTCGGCAGCATCCTTCCTCTGATCGCCCTCATGTCTTCTCTTACCTCCCCATCCGCACATTCGAACGTCGATGGATGGGGGGGGGCGGGGTGGCGGGTGGCGCGAGATTGGTTCCATCGGTCTCGTCTGCCCCCTCGTCGAGCTGCTCATCCTCCTCATCCTCATGCTTCGCGGGTTCCTCCTCGGACGATGTGGCGAGCTCGCCCACCCACATTCCACGCCTCAATGTTGCTTATTGCTGCCATGCCAATTAATGTTGCCTGCCACCGCCTGAACGTCTCAGCCCGTTTCGCCCGAAATCTCCCGACCAACGTTTCGAAGATCCCATTGCGCTTCCTGGCCAGGCACTCATTGAGCCCGCTCGACTCATCCTGCGGTCCCTCCCCCGCTTCTCTGCAAGTCGCGGTATCCTGTGCGGGGTGCAGTGTGTCCTATTCATAATTGCTTTGCTACTCCTCCTATTCCTCATACTTCAGCTCCTAGTCAAACTCCTACTTCTAACTCTTAGCCCCTTGCGGTAGGATGATGATGATGAGGAGGAGGAGGAGGAGGGAGAGGGGGACGAGGCTGAGGGTGCGCTCCTTGTCTTCATTCCTCTTCCTACAGACCTCTGGGGAACTTCCCGTACCGCGATGCTTCAGGATGATAAGTATATACCAGCATCATCACCACCAGCATCACGACCATGAACATACATCACCATCAGCATCAACGACATCATCATCAGTTTTTCATAAACAACAGCATCATCATCACCATCAGCATCAGCAGCATCAGCAACACTATCACCATCGGCCCCATCATCAAAGTCACCATCATCACCGTCACTATCACCATCACCATTGGAGCTCCACCGAAGGCCCCAGTGGCGGCATTCGCATGCGCCTCCCCCGCATACTTCGGCACAGCTCTCACGCGCATCGTGGCGCCATGGGGCATTGTCGGCACGCCCCTCGCACGTTTCGTGGCTACACATGTGCAAACGTGTTCGTTGATGGGGGGGGGCGCGGGTGGCACGCTTGTTTCGTGCTCTGTGTAGGACCAATGATGCGAGCGTGCTCGCTCTGTCGCGTTCGATGCCTTTGTAAGGCCCCAGGGTGGGCCCCATGTGGCCCTAGTGACCGCCCCCCCTCCATCCTCAGAGCCAAAACGTTGCACCGCCCAGGGAAGAGCTTATGGTTAAAAAAACGACGGCGATGATAATGACTTGTAGCTACCTGGCGAGGACGGGGAAACTGACGCGTGCGATGACGGGGGCGATGGCGAAATGTCGAGGATCGCGATCAAGATGATAATAGAGCATCGGGGGGCGATGGCGAGGCAGGAGAAGGAGGAGGAGGAGGAGGGATACGGAGGACGACGATAATGAGGATATGTAAGACAATGCGTCCACCCACCAACTGCTGGTGTTCCTTAAGCAGTCAGGTGGCAGATGTTGCAATTGTGTCGGTGTCCGGTTGGGGTTATGGTGAGGTTCTCTTGGTCCTACTAGCTGTGGCCTTTTCGGTGGGTGCCTGTGCCCTCTTGGGACCATCATGGGGGCTCGGTGGGTATCGGTGCCCTGTTAGGGCCTCTGGGGGCCTCTTGGAGACTCGGAAGGGCTTTTGGATGGCGTCCTTCTCCTTGTCATCCTCGTCAGTATGCCTTCTCCCACTCTCCTCGTCCTCATGCCCGACGTTGGGATAGTGTTATTCGCGTTGAGAGGCGTGTGCGCGCCTGCTTTCGTCTCGCCCTGGCCAGGCGAATCGGTGCCGCAAGAACATCGCCGCCCGCCTGGCCAAGATGCAGTCTGCCGATGACGAGAGCGACGACGGTGACCAATACGTGCTCGTGAAAGGTTGGGCGTTCAGGGTTCCAGACAGCTGCCCCGCCGCCTCGGTGGTCAGCAGCAAGATTGGGGCTGCGGTGTACGTGTGGGACGACGGCGACAGATGGATGAGCGACCAGCTGTACACAGAGGCGGCCAGGTGCGACCCCAACATCAAGAAGGCGCCCGAGGTTGCGCCCGAGGTGCCAGCGGCGGCCGCCTCAGCCAAGGAGGGCGCGGCGGCCAAGAGCGCGGCGGCCAGCCCGCAGACGGCCAAGGAGGGCGCGGCGGCCAGCCCGATGGCAGCCAAGGAGGGCGCGGCGGCCAATGGCGCCTGGGGCGCGGCGGCCAGCCCGATGGCAGCCAAGGAGGGCGCGGCGGCCGCCTCGGTCAAGAAGGGCGCGGAGGCCAAGGGCGCAGAGGGCGCGGCGGCCAAGGGCGCAGAGGGCGCGGCGGCCAGCCCGCAGGCAGCCAAGGAGGGCGCGGCGGCAAGCCCGCATGCAGCCAAGGAGGGCGCGGCGCCCGTCGACGCGGGCAAGGGCAGGGGCAGGGGCAGAGGCAGAGGCAGGGGCAAGAAGGCCCAGCATGCCGACGGCGACGGCGGTGGGCTGAACGTCGGCGGCGAGGGCACGGGCAAGGGCAAGAGCAGGGGCAAGGGCAAGTGCAAGGCGGCGGGCAAGGGCGGCGAGGGTTGGCATCATCAGGCCTCTCGCACTGCAACGTAACCTCCTCATCCCTCTCCCCACGATTATTCCAGACTTATGGCATCGAGTCCTCCACTTTAGAACCTTCCCAAGTCTCCGCCGCCCCCCATTCGCCTTTTCAAGCCCTCAACCCTTATCCTCCGCATGTTGCCGTCGCAAGTCCCCCACCTTCTACCCTCAATCAGCCCTCGTCGTTTTCAGCCAACCCGTCCTTGCGAAGGCAGAGGCGGCGGCCGACTCATCGCCCGTCCCAGCGGCGGGCGATTGGAACGAGGGCGACGCAGACACGATGAACGAGGAGCACGGCGACGGCTGGTGCGGCAGCAAGATGGCCGCGGTGCTCCGAGAGATCAAGGAGGCCCGCGAGCTGTGCGGCAAGCACGGCCAATGGAAGGTTGCGGGGGGTCAGCGGGGATGCGGAGGCAGTTGAGGATTGCGACGAGGATCTCATGGGGATGAGGCTGGCGATGAGGATGATGATGAGGACGATGAGGATGGTGATGATGAGGAGGGTGATGAGGACGATGAGGATGGTGATGAGGATGGGGATGGCGATGAGGAGGATGGGGATTAGAGAGATAATGTGAGGGAGGGGCGGAAAGTGAGAGAGAGAGAGAGAGTGGAGGAGGTAGATGGGGAGGGTGAGGAGGACGGTGATAAGGGATGATGGTCTGATGGGGGTGAGGTGGGTGATGGGGATTCGTATGCAGATGGCGGTGGGGATGCGGCTGGCGGTGAGGTGCCGAGGGTGATGATGAGGATGAGGATGCTGAGGAGGATGATGATGAAATGAGAAGGATGGGATGAGGATGAGGATGAGGATACATATGAGGATGTGATTGGCTGCTGTGCCCTGAGGTTGGCGTCTCGCCGCGCCCGAAGATCAACGGGTGGGAGTGCTTCGTGCGGAACAATGACGGCCAGAAGTGGACGAAGACCAGCAACGCGAAGATCAAGGTGGCAGCGACGCTCAAGGGCACGGTTCTCTACGCGAACCAGTGGATGCTCGAGAGGGTGCAGGCTGAGGGTGCCGCGCGCGCCGAGTTGTTGGCGGCCGCTGGAGGCGATGATGGCAGCGGCGAGGTGGCGGCCGTCAACATCAGCGACGACGATGCGCATCGGGAGGCCGCCAAGGGTGTGACGGGAGGCGCCGACGGCGTGATGGCCGACACGATGCCTGACGACGTGAAGGAAGGCGCCGACGGCGCGACGGCCGACGACAAGATGCCTGACGACGTGAAGGAAGGCGCCGACGGCGCGATGGCCGACGACAAGATGCCCGACGACGTGAAGGGAGGCGCCGACGGCACGATGGCCGACGACAAGATGCCCGACGACGGGAAGGGAGGCGCCGACGGCACGGCGGTCGACGACAAGATGGCAGACGGCGCGAAGGAGCACGTCGACGGGCTCTTCGATGACGTGGTGCAGGAGATCGACTGTTTCACCCAGCCCGAGGATGACGGCTTGCACTCGACCCAGGTGGAGGACGCCACCGCGACCCAGTTCTTCGGCGTGGTCGAGAATGCGGGGTCCGACCAGAAGCGCCGACGCTTGGGCGCCAAGTCCGCGGTGCCCGAGTCTGACGGCCCTGGGTTGGCAGACTAGGTAGAGTGGATGAGGTGGAGGATGGGAAATGATGGGTTGGCAGACTAGGTAGAGTGGATGAGACGATGGTTAGGATTACAGTGAGAGGATGGGAAATGATGGACAGAGCACGAGAGCAACTTTTGTTATTCAGTATCGGCGACGGCGGCGCCACTAGATATATACATGGATATATAGGCGCCGTACAAGGGTTGCAGCACTCCGCGACGAATGCTTGCGTGCGCGCTGAGAGTTTCAAGGCCTGCCGTCGTCTTCGTGTCGCGTGGCTGCAAGCTCGTTCAGGTCAGGCGCAATGCAATGTGCCGAGGGTAGCTTGACGATCACATACAGGCCGCTCGAAGGTAGCGCGAAGATATTCCTCCTCTGGCCCACGCCCGCTCCCCTTTCCCACGCGTGGGTTTTCGGTCACTGGCTGCCGCCCGTCCACCACCCGTCGTCTGGGTGGGCCCGGGTGGGGAGCTGCGCTTGTTCGATGCCCTGGTTTAGGCACCGATGGGCCTTCGGTGCTGGTGTGCGCCCCAAGTCGGCCCACTCCCGTTTCTGCGGGTTCGGGTTGGGCCCCCCTTCTGAACCGCACATGGCCCGACCAGCCTGGATGCTCAGCAGATACAGCCAATCCGCATAGTAAGGATGCGCGATAAGGATGCAAAGGCCTTGGACGCCCATGTCGATGCTTTTCGAGCGGGCCGCGGCCAACGAAAGCTGCCAAATATGGGCCGAGAAGGTAAGGATGCACGGGTACCCGTGGGAAGGTTGCCCATCCTTACTATGCGGGTTGATTGCAGGCAACGTCCGATATCGCCTATTCCAAATGGCAGCGCGTTGTGCCCCGCCCCGCATTGCCCCCTCCGCCCCCATTCGACCCTATTTCCTGTTTACCCTGGCTCACCGCCCACCCCTCCGCCGCCCCCCCAGCCCGCCCTCAGCACAGACATCCGCCTCGTCCTCTCTCATTCCCCTCACCCCCTGCAACCCCTTGCACCAATTGTCGTCGGCGCACGTCGTCGCGCAACCAGAGGCATGCGCGGGCACGCAGAGACGAGTGACGACGCGCAGAGACATCAACAAGCATCGGTCGGCAGGTTAAGACATGCAACGACACGCGCAGACGCGCAGCGACATGTATAGGCACGCGAAGCCACCAGCTGACAGTCTTCGGCATCTCCAGACATGCAGCGGCATGCGCAGACACGCCCAAACAAATTCAGGCACTCGGAGACATACACGGATATCGACAGACATGCTCGGACATGCAGCCACATTCGCAGACGTGCGCAGACACACGCAGACACTCGCAGGCATACACGGACATCGACAGACATGTTCGGACATTCAGCGACATTCGCAGACATGCGCAGACACACGCAGACACTCGCAGACATACACGGACATCGACAGACATGTTCGGACATGCAGCGACATTCGCAGACATGCGCAGACACGCAGAGACACACGCAGACATTTGCAGACATCGGCAGTCATGTTACGACATGCAGCGACACGCGCAGACATGGGCAGACACACGCAGACACGCGCAGACATCCACGGACACCCACAGACAGCTTCGGACATGCAGCGACATACGCAGACAATCCAAGACACGTGAAGACATTGCCAGGCATCGGTCGACATGTTCGGACATGCAGCGACATGCGCAGACACGCACACACAAGTGCAGACACTCGCAGACATACACGGTCATCGACAACCATCATTCTCGGACATGTAGCGACATGCGCAAACACGCCCAGACACGTGCATACACCCGAAGACCTACACGGACATCGGCCGACGCTTTCGGACATGCAGCGACATTCACAGACATGCGCAGACACACAAAGTCGTTCGACACGCGCAGACATGCGCAGGCACACAAAGACACTAGCAGACATTAGCGGGCACCCACATACATCTTCGGACATGCAACGACATCCGAACATGCTCCGCACACATCGACTGACATTCGGAATGCACGGGCGTTGATTCGCAGACACGTGGATACAGCACAACCGCCCGCTCGCCGTGTCGCCCTCCCCTCGTCCTCCTCCTCCTCCTCATCGCCCTCCTCCTCCTCGCCGTCGCTCGCCTCCCTTCCTCCTCGCCGGCGCCCCGCAGCCCGTCGAGAAACGATGTGCCAGGCGAGTTGCCTATGTTCGCTGGGTCTCGCGCCCAGCCCCCCCCCCCAAAAAAAAAAAAAAACTCCATCGGAGGGGCACCAATCATTAAAGGTGAGGAGGAGGGTGTCAGGAGTCCTCGTGGGCCGTACCGCGGCCGAATGTGGCTTCCAGGGCTATGTCTAGGCAACAGTCGGCACCCGAGGAAGACGAGCTGAGACCAGCAGGGCCCCGAGATCAACGTGGCTCGAATGGCGAGAGGGGGGAGAGGGGGGGGAGAGAGCGAGAGAGAGAGAGAGAGAGAGAGAGATAGAGGGAGAGAGAGCGAGCTCTATAATTATATATAGAGGGGGAGAGAGAGAGAGACAAATAGAGAGAGAGAGAGAGAGAGAGAGCGAGAGAGAGAGAGAGAGCGAAAGAGAGAGAGAGAGAGAGAGAGCGATATATAACACACAACAATAAATGAGAGCAGGGGTCAGGTACGCTGCCAGGTCTACCACGTTAGGTGGCGTGCTCCTGGGGGTCGGGGGCCCCTAGCCTCAGGGGCGCCAGCGGAAGGGGCAACAACGAAATCACAAAGCAAGCGGTGTCCTGGACGTCTAGTGGCCTTAGGCGTCGCGGGGTGCTTTGTGGCCGAAGGCGTCGTGCTTTTGTTTGCGTGGCCTTGCTCGTCTTGGGGTGCGTTTTTATGGGAACCCCTGAGGCTTCAGTGGGGCCGCCAAGCGCTGCGTGACTGCGCTTCTGAGTTTGTTAGTGGTGTGCTGTCACGACAGGAGGGCCCCTGAGGGCGTAGTCGTGCCGGTGGGGCACGGGATGGGATTGGAGCTGGGGGTCTTGAGGCGTCGTTGACAAGCAGTAATGCAGTCTGTGGGGACGCTTTGTGTGACTGCGGGCGTGGCTTGGGGGTGTCTTGCCCACGCCCCGAACCCCCCCCCCCCCTCCCCACAGCACCAACCAGGCCCTATATGGGCGCCTGATGGGTCCTAGATAGGGCCCTGTTGTGGCCTTAATGGGCCAGAAGGGGAAATCTGAGGACTACGGGCACAAGCAGGAGAGGGTAAGACACAGTGCTAGTAAACGGCAGGCGTAGCCACAGCGATCATACCGACTAGCGGTTGTGGGAGAGGCCATTCTTCCCCCATCCCCGAAGGGATGGGAAGGGAGGGGCCTCCTCCCTGGCTGCATTTGCCTTGCGCGGTGCAGTGCCCCTCGGCCCTGACTGGCAGCTGGCTCTGAAGTGCTAGGGCCCCTCGCCACTCCGAACCCCCCGTCCGCCCCTCCACTTGATTTTTTGTTTTATATTTTTTAAGTAAAAAAATATTTTTGTGTTGAACAAGTTTTAAATATGTTTATGTCAGTTTTATTTTTCACATTATTTTTTCAGCTTGGAGGGGCGGAAGGTGGGCCAGGAGGTAGCCCCTCCCTTTACGGGCACTGCGCCTGAGGGGGCTGCGCGGTGGAGAGGGCACCGCCTCCCTTTTGTTTTGCGGGCGGCGCCGATCGTGCACCGCCCCAGCTTGATATGCTGAGCCGCGCGTGCACAAGCACGTTGGTGCGTGTCCTCGTGTTATCAAGCTAGCGCGGTGAGCGGTTGGCGCCGTTCGCCTGGGACCAAAATCGCCCTGGCCGTTTCGCTGGAGACGCTCGTCACTTGTGGCCTCAGTTCTTTGCTAGTATCACACGCCCGCCTTTGTTATATATCAACGCAGAATATGTGCCACATGATTATTTGTTACCATGCCGATGCCAAGCCGTTGCCAAGGGATCCCGTTTTTTATAGCACACGCATTCCTGACATATGCCTTTCGGCACACCCGCTCCGCTGACGCCTGGGGTCTAGGGATTGGGGTCTCGGGTGCTCGCGTGTTCTTGTGGCTCCAGGGGCTCGGGGCTCCAGTGCGCCCATGGCCTCCCAGGGCCTAGGGGTTCAGTCTAGGGGTCGGGGGGCCCAGGGGCGTCTGGGGTTCCAGAGGCTCCATGTGCAGGTGCCATGGGCTCCAAGAGCTCTGGTGCACCCAGGGGCTCCCAAAGCTTGCGGGTTCAGTACAGGGGTCGGGGGCTCCAGGGGCTCCTGGGGTTCCAGAGGCTCAAGGGGCCCCAGGGGCTCCAGGGGCGTTACCCTGGGGCGCTCAGGGCCTCCCAGGGCCTAGGGTTCAGTCTAGGGGTCGGGGGCCAGGGGTTTCAATGATTCCAGATGCTCCAAGTGTTCCAAGGGTTCTGAAGGTTTCGGTGCGCTCAGGGCTTCTCACGACCTATCTGGGGCCCATTCTAGGGGTCAGGCCCCAGGGATTCCACAATTCACATTTGCTTCTACTGTTCCAGAGGCTCTGTTATTCGGGTGCGCCCAGGGCGTGACACTACCAATGGGTTCTGTCTAGGGGGTCAAATGGGTCCCAGGGGTTCCAGTGGCCCCAAGTGCTCCAGGGGCTTCAATGACACCATGGATCTCAAGTGTATAGCTCGAAACGCACCCTATGCGGTTCGCTTGAGACTTGCACCTGGGCGTTTCGCTTGGGACATACCCATCAGTGGTCTCAGCGGCTGGTTGCACCGCCTCCATCTTTTTGTGCACAAGCACGTTGGTGCGTAGCACATGCGTTATCAAGCCATCGCGGTGCGCGGGTGGCCTCGTGGCAGACTTCTCCCTGCGCGTGTTTCTTCTCATCGGTGGTGCCAGCTTTCTGTGATGATCACGTGCCTTTGATGCACAATATTTGCCATGCGAGTCCTCGTTGACAGATCGGTACCAATTGATTCGAATGACAGTCCATCCTTTGTTGCCGAAGCAACAATATACCTGTCACATGCCTTTCGGCTCAACCGCTCCGCTCACGCCTGGGGTCTAGGGGTCGGGGTCTCGGATGTTCGCGTGGTCTTGTGGCCCCA